TAGAATCTCCCACCATCCAACTAACAACAACAACAACAACGTCAAGCCTTTGGGCTCTGAAACTACGGGGCGGGCCGAGGACAAATACACATGCGTTCATCGCACGTTAAAATAATTAGTGGCGTTAAAAAAATGTTGCGTTTACTTGACAGCCCTAAAAAAAATATAAATAAAGGTAATAAATAAAGGTAATAAAGGTAATAAAAATAGATATCTCTAAGAGAAGTATTTAAATATACAAGGATCCTTAAAAGCTAAAAAAAAAAAACCTTAGTGTTGCAACCGTTCAATGGTTATTTGTTATATTTTGAACACTAGATGGCGTAGTGGGGCATTTATTAATATGAAGACACTTAAGCTTTTTCCTTAGAATAATAAGCATTTTCAAACTGCTTTATAAATTGGGAAAGAAAAATGTCGACAGTCATTAACACTTTCTCTTATCTTTCATTACTAAGTTAAAAGAACTGCTTTCATGACTTCTTCTGCTTTCTCCTTAGACGCCAACTCCACTGAATTCGACCCCGACACAAAGCATCCTGTGGTGAGTCTGTTGTTAAATTCAGTTGTGATATACGTTTTGTTTTTACCTGGAAAGTGCATTAAATTCAGATGAATGATCCCTGCAGGTGATCGACATGCCCGAACACAACCCGGGTCAGATGGGCGGCACCATGCGGCTCGGGAAGAGACGCACCATCTTCATGACCAACAACAGCGTGCTGCGTGAGAGACACTTTATACTGATACCTAATGTGGTGTTGTTGTTTACCTGCTGCTAACAGCCTCTCTGTGTTCCAGGAAAACTCTACGGAGACGCAGAATATGTGGGACGAGAGGCACAGACACCGCTTTGAGGTGCGCTCACCTGCAGAGTTTAAAAACACTTAGATCCTTAACTGAAGTGACGCTGGAAAGACTCACGTGTGTGTGTGTGTGTGTGTGTGTGTGTGTGTGTGTGTGTGTGTGTGTGTGTGTGTGTGTGTGTGTGTGTGTGTGTGTGTGTGTGTGTGTGTGTGTGTGTGTGTGTGTGTGTGTGTGTGTGTGTGTGGTGTGTGTGTGTGTGTTGTGTGTGTGTGTGTGTGTGTTTGTGTGTGTGTGTGGGTGTGTGTGTGTGTGTGTGTGTGTGTGTTGCAGGTGAATCCGGAGCTGAAGAGCCACTTTGAGGAGAGAGGTTTCCGCTTCGTGGGTCAGGACGTGGAGGGAGAGAGGATGGAGGTCATCGAGCTCGACGGTGAGTAAAGTAGGGCTGCACGATGTTTGACTGAGTGGTGCAGGGTGTAGTTTCTGTGATGTTTGACTGACTGGTGCAGGGTGTAGTTTCTGTGATGTTTGACTGACTGGTGCAGGGTGTAGTTTCTGTGATGTTTGACTGAGTGGTGCAGGGTGTCGTTTCTGTGATGTTTGACTGACTGGTGCAGGGTGTAGTTTCTGTGATGTTTGACTGACTGGTGCAGGGTGTCGTTTCTGTGATGTTTGACTGACTGGTGCAGGGTGTCGTTTCTGTGATGTGACTGGTGCAGGGTGTCGTTTCTGTGATGTTTGACTGACTGACTGGTGCAGGGTGTAGTTTCTGTGATGTTTGACTGAGTGGTGCAGGGTGTCGTTTCTGTGATGTTCCCTGAAGGCAGCATCTCCCTGACTCAATGGGATTTCTGTTTGTGAACAAAACGTTAAATCTCTTCAGCTTGTGTCACAGACCTTATTAAAGGAGAACAACCAAAAACACATTCTAAAAACCATTGACTTCCAGCCTAGGGGACAGGAAGTGGTTAAAGCTTAGTCATTTCAGGGTTTTAGGACTCGACCCGTCACCACTCTGTTTGTGTACTGATGGTGGACTGGACTAAACTGTGTTTCTGTTTTCAGATCATCCGTACTTCGTGGGGGTTCAGTACCACCCAGAGTTCACCTCCCGCCCCATCAAGCCCTCCCCCCCGTACCTGGGGCTGCTGCTGGCTGCCGCCGGGAAGCTGCCGGGGTATTTAGTGAAGGGCTGCCGGCTATCACCACGGTACAATACTATAAATACTACTACTATTGTTGCAGGGGTATTCAGTGAAAGGCAGCCGGCATACTATACATAAATATACTAAAGCATATTTAAGGAAAGGAGGATCCTCTTTGGGAAATTACATTACATTTAGCTGACGCTTTTATCCAAAGCGACTGACAATCACAGGGACATCCTCCCTGGAGTAACTAAGGACTAAGTGCCTTACTCAAGGGCGCACTAGTGGTGGTGTTCCTAGCGGGATTTGAACTCACAACCTTCCGATCTTCAGCCCACCTCACTATCCATTAGACCACCACTATCCCTTAAATATATCACTTCCATTTTTTTCCAAGTTTCCCTTAATTGTGTTCTCCTGAAGCCTCATGGAGAAACATATAACGTATAATATCGTTTCAGTAATCTACTAATGGGCTCTTTTTTTCTGTAAGCTGTAACACATGTTCCAAATGGGTATTTTGTGGATAATGAAACCGTTGTTCTGATCGAAGGTGATCAATACCTGTTGTTTGTGTTTCCTGCAGCGACACGTACAGCGACCGCAGCGGCAGCAGCAGTCCAGACTCAGAGATCTCAGAACTCAAAATGCCTTCACTCTCTAATGAATGACTTTGAGGAACAAAATAAAATGTTTGTGTTTTCAGAAGTGTCTTAATGGACCTCCAGATGGTTTGTGTCTGAATGGACCTACAGATGGTTTGTGTCTTAATGGACCTCCAGATGGTTTGTGTCTTAATGGAGCTACAGATGGTTTGGGGAAACTACATTTTCAGTTTGAACAAACTGAAGCACACTATATCTTCAGTTGGACGGATGACACCAAAGATGGTTTCACGCCTGTTAGTTTTTTGTTTCATATCAACACGTTTTCAAACCTCACATCAACACGTTTTCAAACCTCACCGCTGCCTCCTTCAGTTTGACAGTTTTGCAGCTCGGCACATTGAAGAATGAATGACAATAAAGTGATGAGCGATATTTCTTTACTATGAGGACCTGTGCACCTGATGAAATAAAAAGAACTGAATTATGCACTAACATTTTGTATTTGTGAAATGTCTTAAAGTGGACCTATCATGCTATATTTAAATGATGTATTGTAGGGCCATACCTATATAAGGTATATTTATACGTTTCTGTTTTCAAAATACCAAACAGATCATGCATTTTAGCCATGCCTCATTTCGCTCTATGTGCTGTTTGCTGTCTACGGGTCTGATTCTGCTGACCACGCCCCCCTGCAGGAGAGGTGAGACGTGCTCTGATCAGCTGCTGGGCTGTCAGAAGAGGGGGAGAAAAAGAGATCTCCGTCCTCCGTGTTTTATTATATAGAGTCGTTATTCATTTGTTTTAAAGCTCAATAAATAACAAAGAAGACCTTTGACCGGCACTTTTCTAATTTTGTCCGGAAGATTTAAACTTTAACGGACATCTTGACCGGCGAAAGAAACTGAAACTGAAACTCTGCCGCACGGTCCCCTCGTTCCTTGGAAGAGGCGGAGAGGTGGGTGTTTGTCATCTGCTGGTGGACTAACCGGAGAGAATTACAGTGCTTGCCTCGACGGGGAGGGATTGCATTGCATTAAAGCAGCGGGAGCAAACGCTTGCCTCGGGGAGGGAGAAAGAAAGCCACAGCGGAGAATAAACAGAAGGGTAACCATGGTAACCAAGTCTTCACTGCTTTTGTGGCAGACTACAGCGCCACTTACAGGCCTGGCATATGTACTACAGCGTCTCCAGCGCTTTCGAACGGCAATGGCCGTGGCTGTCTCCTCCTGATTGGTGGAGTTGGCCCAATAGCCGTAGCGCCACCGTCCTGACGTCAGGACAGTGTTCAAATCTGGATCAGTTTTTATCAGATCCGTTGCAGCCCCTTTTTTAGAGATTTGGGTATGGAGGAAAATAGAGAGGGTTGTGTTTTCTGACACTTGGTGAGTTCCCTGGAACACCGGGGACACATATTCATGAAGAAAAGACGTACAAAAGTGCATTTTGCATGATAGGTCCCCTTTAAATTAAACCCTTGGATAGAAGTACAAGCCCTGAAGTTATAAGAGATGCACACGGCTCTAATACAAGGATGGATGTAGAGTTTAAATGTAGTTTGTGGTCAAATACCACATGACTTCTGACCCAAACATTGGTCACTTGTTCCTAGAGATAAATGATAATAAAAATGGAGTAGAAAGGTAGGCCCAATTCCAAACCACACCCTACCCACTCCCGCTCCGTGATGGAGTGAACTGTCTCACACGAGGCTCCTGTCAGATGGAGGGTGTAAAAACAGCGGCAAGCTTTGGGACGAAATCCCCTCTCTCCGGCAGAAACAGGAAATGCCGTAATACGTAACAACGGTTTCAAATCAGCATCTCTGATTAAAAATAACAAAAATAAAACAAAATCTTTTATGGCAGATATTTTTTGTAAACATTTGTTTTAAAATCTGATGTTAGTTTTAGCAAAAGTCTGTAAATATACACAACTTTTACCGGTTTCTAAACTAGACATGAGTAAACGATCCTAAGTTTAAACAAATACGAGGTAAAACCATGAAGTTGTTAACATCTGTATGAACCCACTCCCCCTCCACTCGGTTTGGAACAGCACTTAATGTGGCGGACCCTCCTCGCAAACGGAGGGGTAGTGGGCAGGGGGCGGTTTGGAGTTGAGCGGAGCTCTCAGCTCCTCCTGTTCAGAAACTAGACAAAAGTTAAAGTACAAACCAAGGTTCAAGGTTCAAGGTTCTTTATTGTCAATCTGACATAGCTACAGAGTAATTATGTAGTTGAAAATCTTATGTCACAGGCTTCTCCAACAATGCAACATAATAACATAACATAACAATAAGAGCATGAGCAATACAAAAATAATAAGTTATAAAAATGAAATAAAGTTATGATGTGGAGAAGGTCCTCTCTGCTATATTGTATGGCAGAGTAGGTGCGGTCGGCTAGCATGTTGCGAACCATGTTAAAAGTAAAACGGCAAAAGTAAAAGAAATATGTACAAAATACAAAAATGGGCAAAGTTGGAGAGGAGTTCATAGACGATGCGGCCATCTTCACCGGCGCATCACAAACCACAGACTGCCTGTGTCATGGCGAATACAGTCGCTGCTTTATTTATGTCTGTATAGGCCGTTGTGAGTGTGGACGGTCGGAGCATATACTGCGTTAGCTTAGCCAATCTCCATTTAGAAAACACGCATTTTAAAAGGTGTTTCGCCTGCCGTCTGTCTGCAGACTTGTCAAAGCATTAATTCATGGTTTTTACTAACCGGTATCAGTATGTTGTTACTTCGGCATCATTTTAAAACTTGTATTACAATTAAATCACGATAAAATGTGTTCATTGTGTTGTAGTTGTAGCCCCCTTGCCAGCGATTCTCTCTAGTTTAGCATACTCAGCCCGGTTGTTGGGCCCGGAAAGAACCACGATTTTGGAGGGCCAGAAAAACAGTATCCGTTAGCCGGAACTACCACTAGTGGAAACGCAACAAAAAACCGGGCCGGGTTTGGCACGGCACGCTTAAACCGTGCTACAGTGGAAATGTGCCAGAAGTGACGACTGACTTCAACCCTCTTCAGTTTTCTCCAGACAGCAGACTCTTCAGCTGCTGGGATGCATGTTCCTCAGATGAACTTCTTGAGAGAAAGCTGCTAAACTGGCTCAGGAACGACATGCAGCTCTCACCTTGGCCTTACTGTAAATAGGTTATACCAACTGTTTGCATTAAACGAGTCTCCAAATGTCCTTCACATGTGTAAATGCAAGAATATCAATAAAGGGATTCTCAAAATTGTTCTGTGTAAGATGTTTTATTTCAACAATTGTTAAGAGAGAAAACATTCAGCTGGTCAGTTTGTAAGAGATCCTTGACAGAGAACTCAGACATGAGAAACAGACTGCACTTAAAGAGCACTTTGTCCAGTCGTTACATCCTCCTGTCCTCCTTCACCATCCTCCTGTCCTCCTTCACCATCCTCCTGTCCTCCTTCACCATCCTCCTGTCCTCCTTCACCATCCTCCTGTCCTCCTTCACCGCTGCACCTGAGAATACAAAGAAACTACATTTAGAGAAATTCAAACGCTTGTTCTAAGGTCATTATTTAAGATCTGATCTCAGTCCCATATCCGCGAGTTTCATCCAACAGTCCTCTTGTTTTAAATTCATCATAGATCAGGAATGAAATGATGCAGACAAATGTCCTTCATACCTCAAAGCAGGAACATGGAGCGTATTCAGTCATCTTCTTATTCCTCTCTGCGTCAGCGTTATCCAACACCTGAAGAAAGAGACAGAAATGCATCTGTGATTCAGTCTGAAGGGTCCTTCCCTTAGTGTGGCTCAGTTATCTAAGTTGTCTCAATCAGATCTAATCAGTGAGGGCAAGTTTGTCATCTTTTTATAGTTGAAATATAACTCAGAAAGTACCTGCATGTGACTTCTTCATGTTTCGCCTTTTCATCTTCAATGTTACTAAAGACCTGCAGAAAGATGGAGCACAGCAATTAGCACAGAAGAGATTTTAAACACATAAATCTTATGATTTAGCCCCAAATGTCCTTCCCCTTAATGTTGCTGAAACAGTTAATATTTAAACTGATCAGCGACCGTCGGTGGAAGTCTTCTTCTCGGCATCCAGTTGACCGCTCTAAGCTACAGTAGAGCCTGAACGGCTTCGATAGGAGCCTGATTTATACCATTTAGTCTAGACAGGAATAAAAACATACCTGCTTTCTGTGCAGACATCCATGTTGCAGAGCCCAGGAGGTAGAGCTCCTATTTCAGGTTCAACCTGTAGAAAGACAGATGAGAGTCAGTGCATGCTCTGTGCTGAAAAGGGAATACTCAGAATACTAGAGTGCTTTGTAGCACATTGAGTCAGACGCTTGTTTTGAGTGTGCAAAAAAAGGCAGACATGAGACTTTTGTTTTACACCTATTACTTTGCTACGTAAGATTATTGTATATCACATCTTGATCTTAGCGACCACGCCGTGGTCATCAGAGCCACGCCTGCACACAGACTGTTATTATACACCTGGGCAGGTGAGGTAATTAGAGTCCTCGTTAACAAACAGCCATCAGACTAGGGTGATAGATGAGAGGTCCTCACGGCCCGGAGGCTGCGGCATCTATATGTCATCATGTGGCTCACACACACACATATATTCATGTTGCTCTTGCCATATCTGAAGCTGCTGAAGCCATGATGATAAAGACTTGAAACTCAGGGGAGGTTTTCAAATATTTCAAAATAATGATTTTTGGACTTTATATTAAAAGGTTTAGCATGAGGTTAGCTTGTTAGCTTAGCATTACCTGACATAGTCCTGTTCCTCTTCAGAGGGTTGCTGCCGTAGGGCAGCGGCGTGTAGTGAGCGGTCCGGATGTTCAGCTTATCAAAGTTCTGCAGGAGACAATCAGAGTTTAGAAAGAGCCTCTGCAGGTGAGATCTACCTGTGATCGTTTATTCAGGATCACATGCCTACACCAGAAGCCTACCGACCCCCTCTATAAGCCCCGCCCACCCCCTCTATAAGCCCCGCCCACCCCCTCTATGCTGTTATTGATGAGTCTCAGCTGTGATCAGCGCAGTCAACTCGTCTTCGCGGCGCTCGGGTCGAGTCGTCTCTCCTCGTGGATCCGGGTCGACCCGGCAGAACGCTGAGTCGATGACATCACCACGAGGAGAGGCCCCGCCCCCAGAACGAGAGCGGGGGGGTGACTGCAACAAGATGGCCGCTCAGCGAATGGATAAACAGCTTCATCATTTCACAGATCAAATTATGCACAGACAAAACTCCTTACGCAGCGTCCACACGGCAGCGTGCGTTGAAGCTTGCCGGCGGGCGTGTCTGAAACTCGACCAACAACCAATCGCATTACAAAGCGACTTACAATGACCAATTACAGGGACATTCTCCCTGGAGTAACTGAGGGCTAAGTGCCTTACTCAAGGGCGCACTAGTGGTGGTGTTCCAGGCGGGATTTGAACTCACAACCTTCCGATCTCCAGCCCACCTCACTATCCATTAGACCACCACTATCATTAATCACATGAATCTCCCGCCCCGGACACACAAGCACGCGGCTTGATTGGCTAGAGCTTGTACTGGCATGTGATTTGATTGGCTGACGCTTCCACCGAAGCTTGAAAAGTTGAACTTTTCTCAACTTTTGAAGCGAGCAAAGCGAAGCGTAGGAACCACAATGCAGTTCGGCAAAGCGTGACGTCACCCCATTCAAAGTGAATGGGAAGCTGCGTTGAATCTTCAACGCACGCTGCCGTGTGGACGGGCCGTTGCATACCTCGAAACAGGAACATGGAGCCTCTGCGTCCCAAGGACATCGGATTAGATGGGCAGACTGATGCCTGCAGGAAGAGAACAGCATTCAAATAAAGAACTGTTGCGCAGTACGCGTTTCTACATAATGACGTGAGGATCTGTTGTTGCGCAGTACGCGTTTCTACATCATGACGTGAGGGTCTGTTGGACAGTTGAGTGGCTGCCGATGGCATCAGAGGCCAGAACAGTCAAAGACCGACCTTTTATCTGGCATGCACTTGGAGAACCCTAGAGCTACAGACAAGCCCCGGTCCTTAGGATAGCATGCTGTGAATAAATCATTTTATGCAAGATATTTTAAATTACCTTGAAGTGAGACATCCTCATGAAGTCACGGCAGCATCAGTGCTCAGCCATCATGGTCACCTTAAGAAAGATAAAGAAACTGAGTTTAAATGAAACACCTTTTATTTAAAGTGGCTTGGTTGTTAGCTAAAGTGGCTCAGTTATCTAAGTTGTCTCAATCAGATCATATCAGTGAGGGCAAGTTTGTCATCACTGCCAGAAATACTCAATATTCAAGGTGTAGTTTAAAAACATACCTGCAGGTGATTTAGTCATCTTCTTATTTCATCCATGGTTGCAGAGCCCAGGTGGCAGAGCCCAGGAGGCAGAGCCCAGGAGGCAGAGCCCAGGAGGCAGAGCCCAGGAGGCAGAGCCCAGGAGGCAGAGCCCAGGAGGCAGAGCCCAGGAGGCAGAGCCCAGGAGGCAGAGCCCAGGAGGCAGAGCCCAGGTGGCAGAGCCCAGGTGGCAGAGCCCAGGAGGCAGAGCCCAGGAGGCAGAGCCCAGGAGGCAGAGCCCAGGTGGCAGAGCCCAGGAGGCAGAGCCCAGGAGGCAGAGCCCAGGAGGCAGAGCCCAGGAGGCAGAGCCCCGGAGGCAGAGCCCCGGAGGCAGAGCCCCGGAGGCAGAGACCCGGAGGCAGAGACCCGGAGGCAGAGCCCCGGAGGCAGAGCCCCGGAGGCAGAGCCCCGGAGGCAGAGCCCCTATTTCAGGCTCAACCTGTGGAAAGACAGATGAGAGAGTCAGTGCCTGCTCTGTGCTGAAAAGGGGAATAGTCAGAATACTAGAGTGCTTTGTAGCACATTGAGTCAAACGCTCGTTTTGAGTGTGCAAAAAAAAGGCAGACATAAGGCTTTTGTTTTACACCTATTACTTTGCTACTTAAGATTTTGTATATCACTTGTTAAGTCACGCCGTGGTCATCAGAGCCACGCCTGCACACAGACTGTGTTATTATACACCTGGGCAGGTGAGGTAATTATGGCGCATTTCCACCATGGCGCGGAGCGCGGTTTAAGCGTGCCGTGTCGTGCCCGTTTTTGGTTGCGCTTCCACTAGGCCTAGTTACGGCCCGGCCCACTTTTTCACCTCTTTTCTGGCACGACAAAATTGTGGTTCTATCGGGGCCAACAAACAGGGCTGAGTCGGGCTGAGTATGCTAAATTAGAGAGAGCATCGCTGGCAAGGGGGCTACAACTACAACAAGATGGACATATTTGACCGTGATTTAATTGTAATACACGTTTCAAAATGATGAAGTAACAACATACTGATACCGGTTAGTAACAACCATGAATTAATGCTTTGTCAAGTCTGCAGACAGACGGCAGAGAAAAACCTTTTAAAATGCGTGTTTTCTGAATGGAGATTGGCTAAGCTAACGCAGTATATGCTCCGACCGTCCACACTCACAACAACGGCCTATACAGACATAAATAAAGCAGCGACTGTATTCACCATGACACAGACAGTCTGTGGTTTGTACTTGATTAACTTTTGTCTAGTTTCTGAACAGATATGAGGAGCGGTGAGCTCTGAGTGCTAACAGCTAACGGCTGTGTTGTTTGTCTGGGGTTCTCATTGAAGATGACGTCACGGCTCCGCCTACACTGCGTTACTATAGTTACTACCCCAGTTCCTAAACTGTAATGGAAGCGCAGCATAAAGTGAGCCGGCCCTGTTAAGGCCCAACGCGGCCAAGCAGTACCGAGCGTGGCCGAGGCCGACCGTGTGGTGGAAATGCGCCATTAGAGTCCTCGTTAACGAGCAGCCATCAGACTAGGGTGATAGATGAGAGGTCCTCACGGCCCGGAGGCTGCGGCATCTATATGTCATCATGTGGCTCACACACACACACACACACCTGTGCAGATAGCCTTCCCCCTTGGTGGTGATGACCACGATGTCCTGGTTCATCTCGATGGCGTCCTCGTACCTGAGCACACCAGCCTCTTGTAGGACACCAGCAGTTTCTCCAGGGGGAAGATGACTCCTCAGGTACGTCTCGTCTTTGTTGTGGTCAAACTGCCACTGAGCGTCCAGGACATCGTGCATCGTCACCAGGTGATCCTACACACACATATATATATTGTGAGGGGGGGGCAGTCTATTGTGAGGGGGGGGGGGCAGTATATGAAATACATATAACATTAATGCTTTGTGATGTCAGCAGTGTATTAAATTGCATATAATATTAATGTTGTCACCATTAATATTATTTGAGGGAGGTTACACAGGGTTCTTACACCTTTTCCAAAGTCAAATTCAAGCACTTTTCAAGGTGCATTTTCAAGCATCTTACAGCTGTTGTAAATTACATACACATACTCAAATGATTATTTCCCTACCTCACATTAAATCAGATGTTCTTTATGCTATAAACAACCAAATGTGTGTTTCATAATAGCATTCTACATGAGGATGAAAAATTAAAAATGTTAGAAAAGAAAACTAAGTTTAATATTTCAAAATGAGTGACCCATCTGTACGTAGACTGGGCATCCCATATAACCTGGCTGAGCCAATATAAAACAATCAGCCAAATAACTTTTCAATATATTATTGATTACTATTTTTGAGGTACTTTTAGGTTGGCAGTAAACACAAGTCAGAGGTACATGGTGTACTTTTCCTCCAGTACATGTATTTAATACCTTTAGTTACTTTACAGATGTGGATGAATGATGTGAAATATAATCAAGTGTTAAATCAGACTTTAGTTCCACCTGGAGTAAATTCACAAGCTACCCTGCAGTATACAAAGTCATTCAAACTAGCTGCACCTTTACCAGCTTTGAGAACACTTTCATGATCAATCATTATAAAACATATCATATACAATTATTAGGGATGCTCCGATCGCCAATTTTGGAGCCGATCGCAGGAATCAGTATCGGCCGATACTGATATCGCTCTCTTTTCCTCTCTCCCCCCCTCTCTCTCCTGACAGCCCGTCAGTATCTCCTGCAGCTCACTGATCCAGTAATGAGCGACCCGACAGTGAAGAATAAATATATTTATAACTAGTGTAGCTTGTTCCAGAGGTAGATCAAATAGCCAAGTGTGTTAGGTCTAACTCTTAGTGTGTGTTCTGCTCCGCTCACCGGTCCGTCACAGCGGGTGGAGCTGCAGGATTTCTGCTTCACACACGCTGCATACCGCTATTTTATTGTCATTTTCGGACACTTAAAATACTGCCAGACTAGTGAAGCCATTTTGGCGAGCTTGTTTTGCCGCGCACAGAGAAAAGTGTCATGTATTTTACATGCAACGATAGCCTAATCTAAAACGCTCTACGGCGTACCTTTCGTGTGGTGTGTGGCTCGTCAGCGCAGACTCTCGCATCGTTATTGTTGCACACTTTGCAGGAGGCTCCTCTTGGGCTTGACCCTCGTCTTAGCCATGGCTTGTATTTGTCTTCTGCTAGCCAACGCTCGTTGAAACGGCAACCTCCTGGCATACTGTCATCCATCACTCTCATCAGAATGCCCAGGTCACACACGTAACAAAAACACTTGCCGCGCATTGCGCGGGAAGGCCGGAGCGGAGCTGTTTTATGTAAAAGCGAAGCAATTAAGCGCGCTCCGACTTCTTTATTTTCTTTTAATCTAAAAAGCGAAGTAAAGCATTTACAATTTCAAGCACTTTATCCCAAATTCAAGCACCATTCCCAAAATTCAAGCACTTTTCAAACCTTGAAAACACCTCGTACAATTTCAAGCATTTTCAAGGATTTCCAGCACCCGTACGCACCCTGTTACAGTCTGACGCTGATAATCTCACCCAGCCTCCTCTGTATAGTTATTATATATATATATATATATATATATATATATTAGTTATTGTGATCATAGCCATTGAAATATAACTCAGAAAGTACCTGCATGTGACTTCTTCATGTTTCGCCTTTTCATCTTCAATGTTACTAAAGACCTGCAGAAAGATGGAGCACAGCAATTAGCACAGAAGAGATTTTAAACACATAAATCTTATGATTTAGCCCCAAATGTCCTTCCCCTTAATGTTGCTGAAACAGTTAATATTTAAACTGATCAGCGACCGTCGGTGGAAGTCTTCTTCTCGGCATCCAGTTGACCGCTCTAATGCCCCTTTCACACCAACGCAACTCCGGTTCAAGCTCCGTGCTAGAGCTTTTCTGGTTCAGAACCGGTTCTTCGGTTTAGCGCCGGCTCTTTTCACACCGCTCAGAGCCCGACTGGTGCTGCCGCTGCTGCGTCATGACGTCACAGTTTACGTCGCTGAGTTTCTCCCCAACGCCGGAGCTCACCTCACAACAACGGGCCGGGGACTGCGTTGCTTTTAATCATACGAAGCCAGATTAAATTAAATAACGACTTCTCCAACCTTGTACTTTTCTCCAGAGTGCCGTGGTTCATTGTTTATTAATGTGTTTCAGCGGCATTTACCGACCGCTGCAGTGCTGGCCGGCTGCTCTTCAACGGGAGTGTATTCTCCCGTTAGCTCCGGGTTAGCTCACACGGCTCTAAAGTATTCACTGTCTGACTGTCACACAAGCAGCTGATACATATCCCCAGTTCCCCTTAAGTGAATGTGTGTCAGTCTGAATTGACGCTGTTTGGTGTCAGTCTGAATTGACGCTGTTTGGCATCACAACGCTGTTATGAAAGTTTCTCTGGTATAACATGGGTGATGTTAGCATAGCAACCGAAGCTAAACTGACTACTTGCTAAGCAGTTTTCTACAGGCACTTTTTACCGACGTATTTTTCATTATGATTCTACTTGTGATAGTCGGACATGACAACCTGTGCAGCCCATGTATTGATTCCATCCGATAGCTGCTATAATAACAAACAAAACGTCTGCCTGCTCTCCACAATGATCAATAACAGCGAACGGATGGTCAAAGTAAACAGAATCACACGAAGCCTGGTTAGTGTTGCCTGACTTTATAAAGTGTGTTTTTTTTTAACAAGTGTGTGGTTGCGTTCTAGTCACTTTGCTCAGCACTACTGCTTGTTACAACTTGTATTTTGCCGTACTCGCCTTAAGTGTTAGCTCAGGTTAATCTCGCCCCCCTCCGACGTAAGCGTGACGTATGCGGTTCTTGCTTCTAGACCGACAACTTTTTGGTGCTCGAAACGAACCGGATTCCGGAGCTATGACGCTGCTCCGCTGCGGTGTGAACAGGAAAACCCGGTGCTTTTCAAGCACCAGCACCGAACCGGCCCTGAAACACCGTTGGTGTGAAAGGGGTATAAGCTACAGTAGAGCCTGAACGGCTTCGATAGGAGCCTGATTTATACCATTTAGTCTACACAGGAATAAAAACATACCTGCTTTCTGTGCAGACATCCATGTTGCAGAGCCCAGGAGGTAGAGCTCCTATTTCAGGTTCAACCTGTAGAAAGACAGATGAGAGTCAGTGCATGCTCTGTGCTGAAAAGGGAATACTCAGAATACTAGTGTGCTTTGTAGCACATTGTCACAGTGGCTATGTGCAAAACAAAAAGCCAGATTTTAGAGTATCGTTCCATATTTACTAAACGAGGTTTTTGCTAATACAAATGTATTTGTTAAGTCGAGCCAGTGTGTTCAACTGCCGCAGAAAAACATAATGCAGAAAGCATTTGCAGTACAAGTTGAGCAGTACATTGACACGTGGTTCACATGTGATAGCGTTAAGCTAACCTCAAGCTAAGCAATTATACCCTAGCATCATCATATCTCGAGTTGTTATATTACAAAATAAGGCAGCGCAATGAAATACAACTACATTAACATGACATTATAGCTATTAGCTTAAGCTAACTGAACCACGTGATAACAGTTACTAAGCTACATAAGCTAACGTTAGCTCGTTGGTTTCAGCACGTCAGCCAGAAATTGAAATGAGGGTCAACACTGCAAATATTGTCTCTGAAACTTAAATGAACTGTCAATAAAAGTCTTAAAATCTAAGAGGATAATAGAGTTAAAGATATAATTTAATAAACTGTGTAAACATTATATTGTGTCCTCAGAGAGCATCAGCGCAGCATCAGCTGACTGAGTCGCTCCGAGCTGAGAGATTCTGTAGCAGAGCGACTCCCCCCGAGAGCACGGCAGCGCAGGGGGGGATAACTGTCTGCAGCACCTCAGCCCCTCCCCTCAGTACCTGTAGTCCGTCCCCTCAGCACCTGTAGCCCGTCCCCATAGCACCTGTAGCCCCTCCCCTCAGTACCTGTAGTCCGTCCCCTCAGCACCTGTAGCCCCTCCGCTCAGCATCTATAGCCCCTCCCCTCAGTACCTATAGCCCCTCCGCTCAGCACCTGTAGCCCAAGCCCCCAGGAAGTGCGCCGGACTCTGATGAAAATATTCGTGCTGGCCAAACGGCGGTACTACACTTCCTTTTGGTTGCCAGGCCCGGAAACACTTTTTCCCATTGACTTACATGGGGAAAGAGTGGTCTGTAAATCGTTGGATAATTTTTTTTAAACTAAATAAACTACCCAGTATGAACACTTGTATAGCCCTTATTAAAAACATTCGTTCCTCAAGTTGTAAAATGTGCTAATAACGTTATTCTGAGAGTTATTTCCCTCTGCATTATGAACGCGCATCTAACCCACGGGACCGCGCCGCCCGGCACGTTCATGTTACGTGTTCAGCACTACATGCGTTTATCTTTACCCATGGATGCACAATAAGAACGGACCCATATCGCCTTACTGCCAGCCCACGGAGCTGTAATAATGGATATATTGCACATGTTTGCTGTAATTCATCATTTATAAAATATTATACTACATGGGCTGTATGATTAAATCTTGTACCGTAAATGTTGTATTAAATAAAGTTAATATTACCGACGTAGATTAACGTCCCTGTAGCTTCTTATTGCACTAAGAAGCTTATTGCACTGTGTGTATATATATATATATATATATATATATATATATATATATATATATATATATATATATATATATATATATATAGTGCAATAATTCTTTCATGCTAAATGAAGCTCTGTTGCTTGGATATCACTAGATCCTGTTACAGCGTAATATAAAAGTACATAACGATTGATGTGTAAATTAGCATAATTACTAGCTAACCGCTAGCTGCTAACTGCCGCCTCGTTAATATCAAATCTATCATAACAAACATTACCATGCTGTCATGAACGTGCGGTGCTGTTACGTGTACGCAAATTGACGTGCTTGATGTGAACGAGCATTTTGGGGGGCATGGTTAAAGTTGCGCATGCGCTATGAGCGCACATACGGGTACTTCTCAGGCATGCCGGGTAATCTGTGACGTTTCGCTCTCTCAAAAGTTGGGCCATTTTATCATCATGCGCGAATGAGCAACTCTCATAGGAATGAATGAGGCCCCGCCTCCCACGCTGTATCCAGTTCTTATTATACATCCATGCTGTAGCCCCTCCGCTCAGCACCTGTAGCCCCTCCCCTCAGCACCTGTAGCCCCTCCGCTCAGCACCTGTAGCCCCTCCCCTCAGCACCTGTAGCCCCTCCGCACCTGTAGCCCCTCCGCTCAGCACCTGTAGCCCCTCCGCTCAGCACCTGTAGCCCCTCCCCTCAGTACCTATAGCCCCTCCGCTCAGCACCTGTAGCCCCTCCCCTCAGCACCTGTAGCCCCTCCGCTCAGCACCTGTAGCCCCTCCCCTCAGTACCTGTAGTCCGTGTATCCGTCCTTCCAGGCGGTGCGCGTGCTGCCGTTGGCTTTCCCGTGTTTGTCGAGCAGTCCTTTCTGGATCATCATCTTCTTCTGACTCGCCTGATCAGGGAAAGAATAACTTTATTAACACAGAACTTAATTAACATCAACACAGAACTTTAACACCACAGAACAGGTAAAGAGGAAACAGATCGTACCTTGGGGCCCAGCCCCCACTTTCGGGGGTAGGTGTCTCTCCATGATGACCCTCTTGATCTTAGCGACCACGTGGTCATCAGAGCCACGCCTGCACACAGACAGTGTTATTATTATTATACACCTGGGCAGGTGAGGTAATTAGAGTCCTCGTTAACGAGCAGCCATCAGACTAGGGTGATAGATGAGAGGTCCTCACGGCCCGGAGGCTGCGGCATCTATATGTCATCATGTGGCTCACACACACAGACAGACAGAGACACACACCTGTGCAGATAGCCTTCCCCCCTTGGTGGTGATGACCACGATGTCCTGGTTCATCTCGATGGCGTCCTCGTACCTGAGCACACCAGCCTCTTGTAGGACACCAGCAGTTTCTCCAGGGGGAAGATGACTCCTCAGGTACGTCTCATCTTTGTTGTGGTCAAACTGCCACTGAGCGTCCAGGACATCGTGCATCGTCACCAGGTGATCCTACACACATATATATTGTGAGGGGGGGCAGTATATTGTGAGGGAGGGAGGGGGGGGGGGGGCAGTATATGAAATACATATAACATTAATGCTTTGTGATGTCAGCAGTGTCTGCAGTATATTAAATTGCATATAATATCAATGTTGTCACCATTAATATTATTTGAGGGAGGTTACAGTCTGACGCTGATAATCTCACCCAGCCTCCTCTGTATAGTTATTATATATATATATATATATAATAGTTATTGTGATCATAGCCATTGAAATATAACTCAGAAAGTACCTGCATGTGACTTCTTCATGTTTTGCCTTTTCATCTTCAATGTTACTAAAGACCTGCAGAAAGATGGAGCACAGCAATTAGCACAGAAGAGATTTTAAACACATAAAGCTTATGATTTAGCCCCAAATGTCCTTCCCCTTAATGTTGCTGAAACAGTTAATATTTAAACTGATCAGCGACCGTCGGTGGAAGTCTTCTTCTCGGCATCCAGTTGACCGCTCTAAGCTACAGTAGAGCCTGAACGGCTTCGATAGGAGCCTGATTTATACCATTTAGTCTACACAGGAATAAAAACATACCTGCTTTCTGTGCAGACATCCATGTTGCAGAGCCCAGGAGGTAGAGCTCCTATTTCAGGTTCAACCTGTAGAAAGACAGATGAGAGTCAGTGCATGCTCTGTGCTGAAAAGGGAATACTCAGAATACTAGTGTGCTTTGTAGCACATTGTCACAGTGGCTATGTGCAAAACAAAAAGCCAGATTTAAGAGTATCGCTCCATATTTACTAAACGAGGTTTTTGCAAATACAAATGCATTTGTTAAGTCGAGCCAGTGTGTTCAACTGCCGCAGAAAAACATAATGCAGAAAGTATTTGCAGTACAAGTTGAGCAGTACATTGACACGTGGTTCACATGTGATAGCGTTAAGCTAACCTCAAGCTAAGCAATTATACCCTAGCATCATCATATCTCGAGTTGTTATATTACAAAATAAGGCAGCGCAATGAAATACAACTACATTAACATGACATTATAGCTATTAGCTTAAGCTAACTGAACCACGTGATAACAGTTACTAAGCTACATAAGCTAACGTTAGCTCGTTGGTTTCAGCACGTCAGCCAGAAATTGAAATGATAAAATACTTATTTTCAGTTCACTATAAGCTAAATATAGCAACTACACACTTTTGTGACATTAAATAAGAATATGTGTATCTTACCGGAGGATATGCTCTTCTTTCTCCTTCGGAAGGCTTGAAGCAGACAGACACTGAAGGGAGGGTCTGACTCCTGTCTGGTGGCGACTGGCGAGCCGTGAGCTTTATACCTAGGCCCTCTGACCCCCACCCCTTCCCTCGGAAAAGAAAAAAAAAAGAGTTATTACGTCACAGCGTATACTTTTAGCGGATACTTCAAAACAACGGCCCGGGGTGCAAAACACATCAATGACAGCGACCCTCTACCACACAAAACAACACCTCTAAATAACCCAATTTGTGTTCTTTGAAATTGAAAAGGATATTGCATTGTGTTTGTTACTTTCGTTGCAGTTGTATGTCTTAAGTGTAATTTGGCATGCTTTTATTTTGAAGGCGAGTTGACGCTGTTGACAGGAAGTTGTTGTTGCTATGGAAACAAGAAAAGTTTCACAGCGGGCGGAACTTGTGATAAAGTCCACGATAATAAAACCCACCCATTTAGAGGGAAGATATGATTGGTCAATTTTACTGTCATTTGACATTACTCTCTCGTTCAGTTCAGCGCCAGAGCCGTATAATAGAATGGCGCTGGAGAGCGCCATTCTATTATACGGTGTAGGTACCATATGTGTTTGGCCTACCAGATGTGTTCGGGGTCCGTTACGCTTACCAATGACGTCACGCATTGGCTGTACGGTAACTCAAGAGGACATTTTACACGGTCAAATTCCGAATGTATTGAAACTCCAGACTCAACGTAAGAGCTTGAGCCTCTTCGGGGGGTGCTAACATTTAAACATACACTTCATTCTTTACTTTGTCCGTTATTATATGTAGAAGATATTACTTTTTTCCCCGTTTTTTTTTCAAATTGAATTTATTGAAATCTCCAATATCAACGTAAGAGCTTGTGCCTCTTCGGGGGGTGCTAACACTTAACCATAAACGTTATCGTTTACTTTCTCCGTCTTTATATGAAGATATTACTTTTCTCCGTTAATCTCTGTCACGTTGTTTCCAAAGCAACAACAACTTCCTGTCAACTGCGCTAACTCTCCTTCAAAATAAAAGCATGTCCATATTACACTTAAAGCTCCCATGTCATGCTTTTCCGGTTATTACCCGTCCCCTTGTGTGTTATGAAGGTTTTTATGCATGTAAACGGTGTGCAGAGTCAAAACCCTCAAAGTACACCCTGTAGCGAGTAAAACTCTAACACAGAAAATACCTCCCCAAAACGCCTCGTTGGAGATACGTCACTGCCCATTTGAGTCTTCCATTTAGTTCCGGGTACCGCCTGATGTCATGCGGTACCCGGAACGAAATGGACCAATCCCGAAGAGCTATGGCCACACCAGCAGCGGCGTGTTCCTCCTCCAGAGGTTCGAAGAACCGGCATTTCACAGACGAAAGCTTCCAAAACATTGCCCAGTTTGAGGCCGGATATGCACAGCTTGTTTGGACCGTTTGGAGCAGGGGAAGATTTGGGTATACAACCTGTAAGTTTGCATTGTTATTTGTGTATTTATCAAACAAGACTGTTTAAATGTGTAAACTGTGTTGGACTGCTAAGCCATTGACACAGTGCTAACTGTGCTAACTAAGTTGCTAGAGTTTCCATATATCAACTCTAATATCAGCAGATGGCCTTGCATACATGTATCTCATAGCAGGAGAATGTCTGCATTCACACACAAAATACCTATTGACAGTATACTCCGGGTGATTTGCCGGTCAGTCGCGAAACGTAATTACATTATAGCTGGCGTAGCGATCTAACACACGGAGCTAGAGCTAGTTTTGGTCAGAAAAACATTTTTGTGATGCTACGTTGCTAGCGTTTAAATATATCAACTACAATGTCAGCAGATGGCCTTACATGTTTGTCATGGCAGGAGAATGTCTGCAGTCACACACACGGAATACTCATACAGTATACTGTACTGTGATTTACCGTACATTGTGACCGTACATATACTGCATGTAGCTAACGAGGCTAGCTGTATGCTAGCGCAAAACAATGTATTCATGCAAGTTACATTGTATGACCGAACGTAGCAGAATACCCGTATACGATTGCAATTATAAACACGTTATTGCTAGCCTAATATGAACCACTAGCTTTTGTTCATAGTAGTTTTATTACACTGCATTATAGTTGCCTTTCCTCCAAGCTAACGTTCATATCGTGTTAGCTACCAAGGTAAACAAAGCTAGGTTAGCATATTAGCAGGCAAGCTGTTCATTACACAACTACTACTAACGAATCTAAAACAACTAAGTTTCTCTAATATTTTGTGATTTGCATTTGATTTCGTCCAGCCAGATCCTGGCGGACAATCCATGACGGGGAAGGGATTCTACTACTACTGAGGGTGCTAAAAGGCACCGCACCGACTGTGCGCAGGCAAGATGCGAGGAGGAGGAATGGATGATATACCGTGTATATATGTATATTTATGTTCATTTTGTACATTTCTAAAAATAAAGTTTAATGGAAATACTTAGTAGGCCTATCCTTTCTTCCCTGAATTCATATATAGCAAACCATGATTTGATTTCTCATCAAACAGTAGTAGTTTATAACGGGTAAAAATAACTTACTCTTTGTTATGAGAGTAGCTCGTAGGCCACAACGGAAAGACAAGGAGACATACACGAGTTTACAAAACCACGGCACATTTATTGTGGTAAATGCAGAGACAGGTGGTCGAGGGGAGAGGGTCGCTCAGTTCGTCCTTCTGCAGCCGCTTTGGAGAGAGACTCCGGGCCGCTGGGATTAATAGCACCGGCTACGGAGGTGTCCGTGATCGCGCTGATTACCCTCTTCAGCTCCACCCCACCGTAAGACAAAGGCCCTGAGGCCGTCACACTCTTCTATAACAACAGTTAAAAATATATATGTATATAAAATATACCGCTGTACCGACGCCATGATAAGACTGATGTTACGCTGAGAGCAGCCGGGAAAAGCACTGACATGGGCGCAGCCTCTCTGGTGGTTGACTAATCAGAACGAGTGGCCGAGCTGACCAATCGGAGCACACTAGGCTCACAGGGAGGGGGGGGCAAGAGCTCCAACGAGTCGTTTAGTGGAGAAAGTGAATACTGCTGAATACACATGCTTGACAGAGATGCTGTATGCGAAACCAATGTGAGTTTGGAAAATTGCACAGTATAAATCTATTTTAGTATACCTCAACAATGTAATTATGATCAGTGGAAATGGCCATGACATGGGCCCTTTAAGACATATACAACTGCAACGAAAAGTAACAAACACAATGCGATATCCTTTTCAATTTCAAAGAACACAAATTGGATACATTAACAAATAACTATAAAACAACAATACTGTAGAATAACAAAATGAATGCCGTGAATACACCGAAATACACGTGTTGAAGCGGTTCGCTGCTGATTACTACGATTACCGTACAGCCAATCACAATGGGTGACGTCATTGGTAAGCGACGGACCCCGAACACATATGGTAGGGCGAACACATATGGTACTGACAACGGCTCTCCCTTTCCGGGGGACCTTATTTCGAAAAAAGTATGTAGTCAATGGAGAGAGAAAGATTATCTTTCGATCCCGATTGAATTGTGTCACGAATTACACATATGATGTTTGTCAATTTAAAAGATAATTTTGCAAGTCAAAAAAATATAAATGTGTGGTAAAAATGTGAAATGTGAAATGGTCAGAGGTGGGGACTCGAGTCACATGACTTGGAGTCAGACTCGAGTCGCATATTTTTTGACTTGAGACTTGCTTGACTAACATTGATAAAAGACTTGACTTGACTTTGACTTGGTATTCATGACTTGAGACTTGACTTAAGCTTGAGACAGATGACTTGAAAGGACTTGTCTGTTTAAAATGAAATATTTGCGTTTGTTTTTGTAGTGAGATATTACGTTTAGTTTTTTCGAAAAACGTGATTGGGTGATAATAGCGCCATGCGCGCAAACCTGGCAACCCACTAGACGGCAGGAGTGTCAGTTAACATGGCAGCGGCTAGCGTTACTCAAGTTTGGATTCAAGGATTATGTTGTCGATGACGCTAATAAGAAGAGAACAGCGGTATGCAGGGTCTGCAGCATAAAGATCAGTGACACGACCACCACAACATCCAACTTCATTCGTCACTACAAAAAAACCCACAGAGAAAGGTGTGTGAATGTGTTGTGTTAGCTAGAAAGCTAACGTTAAGTTTAAGCTACATTAGACTTGGTTTCAAATCGATTAAGCATTGCAAAGAGAAGACAAAACGGTAAATGAACTCTAGAACCGCCAAGGGATTCATTTGTACTAACCCTGATACTGACGGGCTGTCAGGAGCCCCCTCCTGACAGCCCGTCAGTAGAGGGCCCTGACGGCTCGCCACTGGTCCTGTCCGTTTATATAGAATATAATCTGATGAATGTAAAACAATGAAGCTCAACAGATAGTGTCAAACAGGTTAAAGCTAAACTAACAACCAATCACATGACGGTGTTTTCCTCCTCAGAACATCGACTCAGCCAATCTGGAGCCAGTGAAATACCACGATGCTGGGCTGTACACAGGGGGTGTTTCTCAATGTCAAGGACGCTTGCTTGGTAGCAAATGTCTTCCGAGTCACTTGCTTCAGAAGCGAGGCAAGAATCCTTCCTAGCCTCGGAAAACGAAGAATTGTGGAACAGGCTAACAGGCTAACAGGCTAATAGGCTAACAGGTGTGCAGGTGTGCGTCATATGCGAGGCCCCGCCTTAAATGGAGCGCGATTTCCGACGGGACTCGATTACGTAGTATGCTTGAAATAGTGGCTCTGGAGCAGCCTTCCTCGACATTGAGAAACACCCAGGGGCTGCTTCTCACTTCTCTGCTCTTCGCTCCTCTGTATCACCGGAAGTTGATTTGTCTGCGCCATCTTGAGTAGCGTCCCATAAGGCGCGTTCACACCGGAGTACTTTGGAGTACTTTTCCCACAATAGTTAATCAGAACTACGATATATTTGCGTTCACACCAAAAAGCGCCAGGAACTAAAGTAGCTCAAATTAGTTCGTCCGACCCGCTTTTCAGTCCCTGCTAGAGAGCAGGGACTGTTGTGGGAGAAAATAGTTCA